CCTGCGGCCCTCTACGAACCGATACGGTCGGAGTTCTAATGCACCGTATGTCAGTGTACCGTTAAAATAACCCGGCAATGCTACTGAAGCTTAAATGTATAACTTTAATGTTTCAGAAATGAAATAAGAGAATTATCAGTGAATTTTCTCAAGTCCTTTTTTCTTGACTATGATAACTTCAAAGCACAATTTATTCAACCTTAATTTTCAATAAGTCTTCAAAATTGGCCACATCATACATACTCTTCATTAATAAAACTGACGTTCATGCGCATATCAGCTGTTCAAATAGTAAACTTGGTTCATGACTTAGGGTCGGATCAGAAGGGTTGAAACAAAAAGAAATAAAAAGACGATGGAAAAAGCCACAAATGCATTCAAACAAATAATACACGATAAGAGTTATCAACAAAATAAAACAGGAAGGAAGAGAAAAACAAAGAGAAACTAGTGTGAGAACGTTGCAACTTCAAGATGTTCAAACCCCTATTAATAACTTGTATATACATGGTAAAATTATAATGACAACATGGGTTTTTTGCTTTTTATTACATTGTTAAGGTTTTGGGTTTTACGCCATTTTGTAGCGCAAGATAAGCTATAGCGGCAAGTATATTTGGTGGATGAAGAACCCGGGGAAAACCACGGTTAGCACCAAAGACCTACGAGAAGCTACTGGCAGCTTTCTCACATACCCACATTGGCTGAGTACAGAACTATAACCTAAGCAGACAGCGGTTAGATGGCAGTGACCAAGAAAAGCGAAGGCTTTAGACCACTCTGCCGCCCTGGGTTCCTATCATCTTAGTAATTAATCATGGCATAGCTGAAGGAGTTGTGAATGTTTCATACAGAAATATTTTAAAATATAGATATGTGGATTGAAAGCATGAAGAAAAAAGAACAGGTCGCGAATATATATTAATACCCATTAGATACAAATATGTTATTATCAGTAATGCGATCTTGATTGCTAGATGACGTCTTGTTGGCGTCAGAAACTTCGGACTGTTATGAGACGCCATGATTCTAGTCATGTCCAGGGTTTTCTGATGTTGACAATAATGTTTTCCTTTTATAGAAATCTGTATTCAGATAAATTAATAAAATCACAGAGCGTCTCAGAAAAATACAATTTTGGAATTTACTGTTTTTACTTTTTTATATCGTAATTTGTCAATAGTCATTTCTTAAACCATGCAAAATATATTTATGAACTGATACTTCACAAAGAGACATAAGGTTATTAATGTGTTATCTTTGCATGATCGGTTCTATTCCATTCCATGTATGTATGTATGTATGTATGTATGTATGTATGTATGTATGTATGTATGTATGTATGTATGTATGTATGTATGTATGTATGTATGTATGTATGTATGTATGTATGTATGTATGTATGTATGTATGTATGTATGTATGTATGTATGTATGTATGTATGTATGTATGTATGTCCTAAATGGTAAATTAATGTTTCCTTCAATGAAGAAACTGAAACCACCCGACAGTGCATATACTTGATATGTCTGTATTCTATATAATTCATTTAGGTCATTCACATCATACTGTGATTAAGATGGGGACGTCAGTATATAGATCAACCGTCCATGTGATCTAGGCTTCAAAGCAGCCCAATGACCCCTTGCTAATTTATTTTGAACCCTGCTAAACGGCCTCTTCTCTGACAGATTCTGTCAAAGCTCGTCATTTGTTGACCCTTTTACCAAACATCAAAACAGAGGATTTCTTATTCGCATGGCAAATATATCATGTTCTTGGCATCCTAACCATTTAGATAAATATTTACCTCTCACCAGTCTCCGAACATCAAAGACGTACGTCACTACATTTCTAACTAGTCTAGTGTGAACTTTTCTTGACATCAACAAAACTCAATGGAATTAGAAGTCACTTAACTACTTTTCTGGACATCAACCAATGGAATTAGACGTCACTTAACTCCTTTTCTCGACATCAACCAATGGAATTAGACATCCCTTTACTCCTTTTATTACAACACTGAAATACAGTTATCAACGCCGCTGTCGACCATTTGCAAGTCTTATTCATCTTGGACTATGTGGGTGGTCAAAACGACGATTCCATTAATAATAGCTTGACACAAGTCAATTTATTATTATTATTATTATTATTATTATTATTATTATTATTATTATTATTATTATTATTATTATTGTTGTTGTTGTTGTTGTTGTTGTTGTTGATGATAATAAAAAGCAATAATTCAATCACTAACTATATTTTTGACTATCGGAAAAATAAAGACAATTCATTTAGACTATATAAAAACCATCATTAGAATGATATGAAATAACAAAATATTTATTGATTTTTTTTTAAACATTCCAAGGAGTAAAGGATTGTTTTGAGAAAATTTGATATAAGAAAACCTCTTGGAATACTTACTGAAGAGAAGTACTAGTCATGCCTGACAATAAAATTATTATATTAATTAGATCAAAAATGTAGTGTATTATTATAGTTGTGAACAGTTAGCATTCCGTAAAACTAACATTTACTATTTGATACAATGTGGGAGACCAAGAAGTAATGATAGTGTGCCCATCAATAAGACACTCTGGCATTAGCGTAAAGCCGCTCCAGTCACCCGGTGTTTTCAGTGTGCACTCACAATCAAGTCATAAGATACCCCAAAACCCTTGAGAAAATCCCCATTATGTCAAAATGTCTAACTTGTTGTTGAATTTAATCGCTTTTATTTGATAGAGAAAATGATCCAGTTCAGCAGGGTCACATAAATCTTGCTCCATTCTTTGAAGGTTTGTTAATGGCCCGAATTGAATGACTATTTCACTAAACCGGTCACATAGCAAAACAAACTGGGATTTGGTGAAAAAGTGGGCAGGATAATTACGAATGCGTCAAAGCCAAGACTACAGCCAATAGAGGAAAACTTTACAAGGTTCATTCTTAAATCCATAAAGTTTGCGCCTAAACTTCATATTTATGTGGAACATACTCTCAAAATAAAAGTCTGGGAGTTATCATATCTACTTACTTGTACATGAATCAGTCATCAACTATGTGTCAGGTCAAATATTTCACCTAGAGAGTAATGGTGAATGTGGACATCTTCCTTCGGAATGAATTAAGAAACCTGTGAAATATATGTGGGGAAGCCCAACAGTATGTTTCCTACCACACCAAAACGATTGTCGTGTTATTCAACTCGAATTCTGCCATATTTGTCCACGTTAAAACTGACAAGTTTTAAAATATTCTTTTTTTCAGCAGACATATCACGTAAAGTGCCTTTTTTCTTGTCAATAGTATTTCCAAATAATTTACGAGCTTTCTGAACTAATTGCAAATTAACTGATCAAATAAAAATTAATTAACCTAATGCGTTAGCTGTATTCTTCGTAAATGTAAATTAAATTAATTAATTTTCATGAGTTCACTCTAATAAAGAAATTATTAACATCAGTAGATTCACCAAATGTTACTGAAAAAATGGTGTTGGTTACAATTTTAAAAGCATGCGCATTAGCAGTACTTATTACACGTACAGACACACACACAAGCACATACGAAATAACACCTCAACAAAAATAAATCATACCCCCTCAAAAAACAAAATAACTAAAGAAAGAAAAATAACATAAACAGTAGAAGATAGCAACCGACTCATTACCCAAATTTAAGTTTCTTTTTTTTTGTTTTAAATAGTTCATAACCAACGTTCAAGGTCAGATAAATAACATGGAAAATGAAAATCGGTCAGTATATAATTTATATATATATATTTATATATGGATTTATATTTTTACCGTGCAAACTATAAATCACAAAAGAGGGATTTCGTTTCGATATTCAGGTCCAACCTTCTATAAATCAAGTTTACAGACATATCCGTCGGTCAAATATGACCCATTAATCTTTGCTGTTCAATTCTTGTGTGTGATCTGTGACACGATTCTGATTATATCTGGCCCACATTTTAGTGCAAGCTGAATATTTTTATGCAAATATAAAGCAAATAGTGTCTTATCATTTTGTGGGAAGATTGAGAGTTGAAAGTGATTATTAATTTCTGATGTGACAAAGAACAAATATCAGGAATGTGACATGACTATGATTGAATGGATGGGTTAAATTCATACTTTGTATAAGTACCAGATGCGTAATTTTTATATCGATTCCTAATGTACAGAATAACGGTGTCATTTTACATTTTATTCACGTCAAAGCTAAAGAATCAGTACAGTGTATGTATGTATGTATGTATGTATGTATGTATGTATGTATGTATGTATGTATGTATGTATGTATGTATGTATGTATGTATGTATGTATGTATGTATGTATGTATGTATGTATGTATGTATGTATATATGTATGTATGTATGTATGTAGAGCATTTTAGCACACTACTGGCTAAATGGTGGCAGCTATAGGTAAAATTCGAAAAATTTAAAATTGAAATGTGCAAGATAGAATATAGAAGGTAAATGTTAATGTTGCTATGCCAATTCGTGTGCTGTGATGATATTCACGGAGTGTCCGCTCTACATTATACAGACACTTTAACAATATTTCTTTACACTGTGACCGCTCCGGTGGCGTAGTGGTTATAGCGTCCGCCTCTGAAGTGGGAGGTCGTGGGTTCGATCCCCGTACAGTGTAAATATAGGTGATGTGTCTTTATAGTGTTAAGAAAACAGTTAATGCATTCGTACAGTGTAAAGGAGTACAGTGTATGAATCTGTACAGTGTAAAGATGTGAGTGTGATTTAGATTTTTACGTAGTTGTAATAATTTTTCAGTCATATAGCTACGATATCTGCAAAGTGACAATTTATAGCACTGGGGCATCATGCCGCAGACATGTAGCATGATGTCTCACTCAGTCACATTATCCTGACACCAGTCAGACCAGTTCTAACAATAACTTTTTAATGCCGAGCACCACCAAGCGAGGCAGCTATTATTATCACCTTTAAAGTCTTTGGCATGATTTTGCCGGGGATCGAACCCACGACCTCCCGCATCAGAGGCGGACGCTCTAACCACTTGGCCACCGGAGCGGTCACAGTGTAAATAAATATGGTTGATGTGTCTGTATAATGTAGAGCGGACACTCAGTGAATCCGGAGCATAAATCATCACAGCACACGAATTGGTATAGCGTAAAGGAATATGACTGCTTAACGAGAAATGGAGAAACAAGAATGCATCATAAAACTGATATGAATAAATATATTAAATGTACATGCCAATGCTAAGAGGAACTACACGTTTGATTGGAACAACAAGAAATGACCCACCCCAACAAACAAACACGGATTCTTGAACTTGTATCTTAAAATACTTCCACAAGTTTGAATTTTCACGATAATGCCTTTTCTCAGAAATTGGCAATGATTTGACGTGAACTTGATCTTGAACAATCTTCTTACTGATATCTTAAAAGCTGAGAGGTTAAAAATTGTATTAGGTCTGTATAGAGAGAAATAGAGTGGGTCAGAATGGAATTTGAGTATCCAATAATGAACAATACAATTACATTGTGTATTTAAACCTTTATTTTGTAACTAACAATACTTCTCAATGTGGGTCGATGGAGCTGTCTATCAAGTTACGCTTCATACATTAATAAGATTAATCTTTCAAGTAACAACATACTGTGTGACTGCAGAAAGGTAGCCTGTTTTGTTCATGATGTACCTATATTGGCAGTTTTCTTTATAATTTCAGGCATTTTGTGTTACTAAAGTCTAAACTTTAATGCGTTTTACAACAGACGGTGAACTCTATGCTTTCTGATGTACGGATGGCACTATGTAAACATTTGGGAATCATAATATTGGAACACATTTTAATTATAACAACCAGACACTGTCTGCTTTGTAATCGGATTCATTATAATTGTTGGAATTCAGCACCATATTTTGACATCGTTAATTTGGCAAGTATTTGAGTAAGTTGCAAGTCTGATCAGCTTAAATTTGGTCCTTTAAAGAAATTTGTTCCAGTTCCCGATTCGATCGGATCATAATTAAGACCTCCGTTTACGATATTAAATCAAAACACCTTTCTTGTATCCTGGAATATACGTGCTAAATAGTTAAATAATTCTCGATGATCTCTCTACATATGATCACTAATATTTCTGATAGCAGATTTATTTAGTTAACACAGAAGCTGATAGCATTCTTATAACAACTTTTCGAGAAAAAGAAAACAAACTCCTTCCTAGACAAGCTAGTATTTAATATGCTATCATTATCATATTGCAAATCATTTTCTTTCACGACGGAGACAAACATTTACCTTCGGGTGCATAGCCTTAAAATACCTGCCCACGAGTGGAGAAAGCGGATATGCCTTGTGTACAGTTTCTAAATGGTATTTTTTTCAACGTACGTAGCTCACTTGGAGACCGACCATTTCGTTGGGTGAGGGTGGGGTGAGGTGGATATAATTTTCTTCCAAATTGGAATGTTGTTTTGATTTTTAAGTGGTTTTGTTTAAAAAATCCATCCCCCGCTTCTGTCAGGATATTTTGTTTCTCTTAGCTTCACCCCTTCTCTAAATTACATGTTCTGCCTCTTATGCTAAATTGTCAACATCAAAAGAGAGACAGACGTGAAGCAGATACTACTTTCGTTATGAGGTCTAAGAATGGCATTCAATGTTTCATTTAAGGCAGGCATTTGCATGCCAACATAGTACACAGAGACAGTCTGGAAATTGCTCTGTAGGCAGTTAAGCAATCTGGATTTTGACAAAATTGCAGTGAAGATTAAAAGTGGCTTTAAAACCAAAATGCCTTTTGTTTCTAATGAAGATGGGGTATAATTTCCATGATTATAAATCTTTTACTTAACCTGTCCTATTATGTGTCCAGAAGTAGAAATACGTTCCTCTTTTGAGAAATATGCTGTACAAGACAATTATTTGTACTGATTGTTCTCAAGATTAAAAGAATCTTATACTAAATGTAAACACTATTACAAAACAGATTTTTAATACAAAGATTTCTACCATCCTAGTCGTTCCATAACATTGAAAATCCCAATCACAGCCTGAATGTTAATTATTCTGCTGTAAAACACATTACTGAAATTGTATGATTTAATAATATTTACTTCTGTGAACCTAATTAATGCTATCAGTTCAGATTATTACTGTAGTGTAATTCTCAGCTTTAGAAAATAGTTCCAACTTGTCGGTGTCAACTTATCTACAAAGAACCAACAAGTGACCTATTTTTAAAAATGTCAGTTCTTAAATAGTTTGCAAGAAAAAAGTTCTTTCATCGAATAAATGAAACGTATACTTGACAATGGCAGAAACAGCTGAAGGATCCTGAGAAATTGGGGCAGAATATGCGACAAAGAAATCTATATGTTCTTTATACTCTTTCCAAAGAGCTATCCGGGAACAAATGCTTTTGTAATACCAAAAAACACAATTGCGTTTGCACAGAAAAATTCGTCGTAATGAAACTATTAGGCTTGTTTTTGGAAATGCTTCATCGCTGATATTCTTTTGTCTGCCTAACAAGTCATCTTAAATGCCATATACATCTCTCAGTACTACTTCACATTCCAATGCTTTATGAAACGCCAATTATTTAATATTTAATCAAAATCAGCTAGTTGATGCATAAAGTCTCGTCAATCTCATTGCTGTTTGTGCATGTATCTCGTCAGGACATTGGGTGTCTTTCAAAAATAATATCGCGAATTTCCTTCTTTGTGATCTATATTTAAATTAGCAAAATTATACATTCTGTCTACATGGGTAAAGTATACTTCTTTGAACAGTTAATTTTTATCCTCTTTTAGCAGTCATATTGCTATTTATCATATTAAGAAGGGTTCATGGGTACACCGTACTATTTATGGTTGGAATCGTTTCAGAAGTATACAGGCTTATTAAAACGTATAGTTATAAAAACTGGTTTGCATGATGATAACGAGTAGTAAAATGAATTCATTGTATTTGCGTGCATAATTTAATACAGAAGAACATAATGAATAAGGATCACGAAGAAGGAGAAATATGTTTTCCACATTAATATTTAATATCTGGAGTCGATTTGCCTTCAACACAAGCCGTGCACTGTCTATTGCAGGACCTGGCATGTCCTTCACACGTTAGGTCCAAGTACACAAGAAGAAAGACATGGTATAAGTACACCAACCTGTACAAGATCACGCTTGGCTGTGTTAGGAATTTGATAATTCCCATGGTTGACAGGGAACACATTTTTACAGTTTCACATCATCGATAAAGCATGCAAAAAGCAGTTATTACATGTATGCGTGTTTGAAAGCAGCCATTGTGGTATTCAAACCTTCACATAGTGCATTTTGAGAAAAGCGAAAACGACAAGTAGGAATCAAATTGACTGTATAGGACGATTATGTATTTGAACGCAACCTATGTTGATACTTTAGAAGATATTGAATATGCACATAGAATCCGTACAAGAGTATACGAAGAACGGGACATTTTGATTTGTTGAAATCTGTTAAAGATATGTACATGTCGAATGCTACCTTGCACTATGTGTAGACTAGTTGACTAATTTTTTCCTTAGAACAAACTCAAGAACGAGAAGCATATTAAGCCTTTGCCACGGCCAAGGCGTACTTGTGGACTTATTCCTGTCAATTATTTAGTAGAAATCGCTATGGGTGGTATCTCTGGTGTAGTCACAGGGTTAGTCTGTTTTGCTCGGGAAAGTCTTTTTCTCTTAGGTCGTAATAAAAAAGTCTAATGCATTTATGTCAAACTTCTTAACTCTGCCAAAATATCGAAGAGTACCGTGACCATTTGACTTTCACTATTTTCCTTCTCTTTTAGCCTGTGTTTCTTTTCTGCTGCTTCTTCTTCATGTCTTTTCCTTTTTGCCTCTCTTTCTCGCTCTTGCTGTTTAAGGAGAAATGCTTGTTCTGACTCTTTCTGCTGCTCTAAAAATTTCTTCAGTTCTTCTTTCTGTCTTTATTTAAAATTCTCAAAGTGTGGTAAAGAAGGTACTGGTACCGAAACAATATCTTGCGAAAAGTGAAAATCTACTAAATCCCAGTTGTAATCAAATTTTTTTCGGGAAGTAGCGCTATGTTCACTTTAGTAGCCGATGCTATTACATCGCTTTTCGTCTCCACAGCCAGTGTACCTCAATTTATCATCTTCTTAGTTTGCGTCATGTTTCACAAAACAATTCCGCATCGATTCACTTTGCACATATGCTAGTGCACCTATATTGGGAATGTGACGTCACAGGTAGCTCTCTTCAGATTGGAAGACAGATTCAGAGAAGTGACTGAATTTTGTAACACGTGTTTGGATTGGTGAACAATTTCAATCCGTTTCGATCCGCTCTTCGACTATTAAAAACGTGGTTCACTTCATTCCCTTCACCTGTTCTAGTCACAAAGATGTGGACAGACGTTGAATCCTCTACTCGTTGATGCTGTTCCTTAGAGACTTATCCATGTATGTGTAAACATCATGGACCATCATCAGGATGACCGGTGTAACTGTTAGGAAAAGAAGATACTATGTGGAAAAATAAAGCTGTATGGAGAGAGTCCTCATTTACGGACCAGAAATGAAACACAGTTTGAGACAAGGTTTGAGGATAAGAAAGACGTATGCGATGTCAAGCATGTTAACGGAATGGTGTTAACATAACAAATAACGATTCTTTTAGGATCTTTAATTATGCCTAGAAAAGATTTTAATTCTTATTTTGTCCATATGTTTTATCTGTGTTTATCTATGTCTCTGTGTCTCTATTGTATTTGTCCCTAACTAGAATGGTAGCTGTGCGTATTTAGGTCAGCCCCTTGCTACATTGTTGCAATTGTCCAGTATCGTGACGTCATGCCACTTGTTCCATTCATCTTGTTCCTATACTAAATGTCCATTTGTCCAATACAGGATCAGGGTAATTTTCTGTCCCTATAAATGTGTGCCATATACTGGCCCAGGCTGATTTTCCTATTTTTGGCCTCATTTGCCCTAAACTACACCATTATACTACTAATATATGCATTGCAATGGAT